GGCAAAGACTTGGAGATTGGTAAGATAATTAAATAAGTGAGATGCATTGTCCACACTGAACGCCACTCTTGGACGCTTGAAAAACGTTTTTAAAGATGTGCAAAGATCATCTTTGGTAGAAGGATTCGACCCTTATCTTCCCTTTAAAATCGCAAAATTAGCCGATACTAACCGTACTGTATCTTGTGGTTGGAGTCGTGGTAAGTTTGCGATTTGTTAAGTGGGTTCGACTTCTCGCAAAAAAGAGGGTGGAATTAAGAGAGCTCATAACTTCCAGAAGCTTTGCACATGCGGAAGAGAGTTTGAACCCCAGGGAAAAGCTCCATCCGGCTTGAAGTATATTCTCTTGAACGTGACTTAGTTCCTTCTCTTGTTAAATCAACATTCAATCGAATATGAGGTGCTACCATAGACGTCTGCACGGGATCTGCGTAATCGCTTTGTCGTAATGCATTAACATATATTGGTGAGAAAGGAGCTTGCGCAAAGAGTGATTTGTAAATAAAAGCGTTACCTCCTTTAAGACAACCCCTTTATATTTTTCTTCGCATATTCATCCGAAAAAGAAGGATATCCCATATTTATATTTGTTTTTTTAAAGGAAAAATATAGTATCTTATTAAAGTTAGAACAAAATCTTAGGTGCTGAACTTTGTTTTAAAAGTCTAGAATGAGTTAAGACATCACCTAATGAGTCGTACGTTAGGCTCACGGCATGTTTGCGCAATCAACTCACAAACTTTTACTGTGTGAATCTTCCATTTACATTCAGAAAATGATCCATGTGTAAAAACTTTCCTTCTTTTTTAAAAAATTGAAATATAGATTTCAACTTCTTGAACAAGTCTTTGGAAGTTTAGTTATGTTCACATAGCTATTTCTTTATCAGAACCTACACAAAACAATTCAAAATTTCGTAACGAAGGCATATAATGAATTTTTGATCGACTAATTTTTCGAGTTTTTACCTGCACCGCTCCATAGGCCTATTTATAAATAAGTTATATAGAAGCCCACTTGTTGTCCATCGCTACCCTTCCATTACCGCCGACATCCTTAAATCCTTCGCAGCCCTTTCCATAGCAAATTCTTTTTTTAGAAGCGTAGGGGGACATGGTGAGTGCAAGTCAAATAGATTTCTATGTATTACTGGTGATTCGATAGGTTTTGTGGAATTTCTGTGTACCGATTACTGGTGATTGCGATAGGTTTTGTGGGATTGTGAGTTGTAGTGTATCGCTTTCTTAACAAAAATTGCTTTTTTAAGGCATACGCAAAATTCCTCTCCTTAGATAAGATCTCGCTGTTTTACATATCCATCCATTCTTATAAATATACAAATGCCAATCGGAACACAGTCTCTCATAAATGCGTCAAAGCTTTGTTCATTCTAAGTGAACACAAGTTGTTTGAAAAAATTGCATATGGTTATTACACTTATCATGTTCATGTCCGCATATATCTTTGTAGCAATTTTTTTGCGGTCAGTAGGTGCTAGAGAACTTTCATACCACTGAAGCCATCAGATACTGAAGCAGTACATTCAGGGAGAAGCCTTCCTAGGAGATCTCCGTGGTTGCCTCTCGCAAACTTTGCAAGATTGGTGGAATATTGTAGAGCAATTATCAAGTTTCAAGCCATTATTGAGAGAAGAATTATGGTTAGATAGGTCCGAAAGTGCAACTTTTGTTATAGAAGCACCATGCTGTGATCTTATGAATCCTTATCTCATTCACATAGTCTGGCATCTATTCTTTTCACTTTCCATCATGTAAGGAAGAGAAGTTGAAAAGTACTTATTTCTAGAATTTAAAGCTATCCTAGTCAGCATGTGGTAACATTTGATTCACCTTTTGGATGTCCCCTTACGCTTTTAAAATATGAATTTGCTCTAGAAATAACGCTGAAAAGGTTGGATAGTTCCAAGGATGTTGTCGATAATGAAAGCAGAGCAGTGATAACAAGAGCGAGCTTCCTATAAAGATATATGAACCTATGAATTGAATCAGGCAAAATATTTGAAAAGTGAACAAACAAGTTGGCATGACGAGAACCCTACATATAGGGGTTATTTCATTGATCTA